GTAAGTTTATTAGCAAATTCCCTTAACACTTTAGGATGCATGTCTCTTGGTTCTACTGACATATTTATATGTTTAAAATTGCCCCCAGTCTATTCATCTGCTTCCTCCCTTCCTAATAATTACCATCTTTTCTTTTTTTTTTTCTGGTCAGTGGGCAAAAACCTGAATTTCCATTTTTCTATTTCCCTGGTAAAAGTAGATAAAAAGAAAAAAACTCAATTTTCCCTTTTTAGTTGTTGTTGCCCTTTCTTCGTAGAAATGTTAATGCCTGTGATTTTCTGTTTTCATTACCTTTTAATTTCCATTTTATAATTCTTCCTCCTCAGCATTTCTTGTTCTTTTGTGTACTCTTGAAAAGGCATGTCTATTCCTATTTAATTTTGATTTCTCAAAAGATAGTACAACTTGTTCCACACTTGTGACTTTCTTTAGGTTTCCTGATGCATTAGAGTTTGTCTTCTTGATATCTAGTACCATTTTCTCAACAATTCCTTTTCTTATAGAGGTGCATTCAGAGGGCTTGGAAACTCTTCAACACCAAGCTTTTCTAATTTAATTGTAAAGTATGTAGTACTGTTTTGCTACTGTTTGTGTTATAAAAATGTCTTTCATTTGTTTGGTTTCTTCTCTTCCTTCCTTTTTTGTGAATCCTCTTCTCCACCCTTCCCTCCAGTCTTGTACTTTGTCCTACTCAATACTTGGTTGAGAAATGTTGGGCCCAAGATTGGTGCTCAAGAAATATTACTGACTTATATTCTTCAGAGTAAAATTTTTAGGTCTGATTAGTTTAAGAGTTAATACAGGGAGTTTGCATTTTTTCCTCTCAACTTCAATGTCCCTAGAAAGAGTTTCACACCTATAGCTACTTTTTAATTTTTTTTGGTCACAGAGCTTCACATTTATCGCCAAAGTATGTCCATGGTTTTAAGCACATCTGATACAGATATGTATGTATACACATATAGGTTTATATATCTACATCTATATATTATGTATGTATGTATGTATATATATTGATCTTGGACAGAGGCCAACGTACGTGTGTGTGTGTGTGTATGTGTATACACAGACATATAATACATACACACATTTACATATACACACATACATATATGTATATTTACATAGTGTTTTATATGTGTATATGTATATATGTGTATATATCTAAATATACACACATCTATGTTACACACACGTGAGTGTGTATTATCTTCCATGAAAATATTTCCTATTTAATGAAAGAGACATTATACTTTAGAAAGAAAATAATAGTGGATAGCAAGATCTAATTTTAATTCCCTTTGATTTAATTGTAACACCTTACACAAATCCATCAATACATCTTATTACTATCTTCAAAATATAGATAACATTTGCTCCATGTATCACAGTTTGACTGAAACATAAAATGCTTTGAAATGAGAATATATATAAATGATATTATAGCATATTTAAAAATAATTTTATATTTTTATTTTTTTCCTGAATTACCTGCCTTCCAATTACATACAAGCAAACAATTTTTCACCTAAACAATGAAATAATTCTATATTTTAGGAAAAAAATTGGATGATTTTAGTTGAATGGATAGTCTTTCCCCTCCTTGAGTACATCTTATACATTTTGACATTTTCAAATCTCAGAGACATATAAGTCAATTTTAGCATAAACAAAGAAATACTTTACGATGTCCTGCTCAAGAGATCATTTAAAAGCAAACAGACGCTTTTGCCATCCTGGGACTTATAAAAGTAGAGAAAGATGACATTAGACAATATAAGTAATGTGCCTAAACTTTAGGAATGTAGATTTCAGAATATTCTTAGGAAAGCTAAATGTGACTTAATCCTTAATGATCAAATAGTTCAAGAGGTAAATGGTTATGAAAAAAAATTAAGTTTTGGTTAACCACTTGAATGTTATTTATGAATAGAACTAGCACAAAGCATTTGGACATCCTCATCAGAGTCTGAAAATGACATCCATCAGTGTCTGAAAATTGTACTTCCTGTACACCAGAGGGTTTGAACATTCATATTACTACATGTGATAACCTACCACAAAATAATACCTATTTACCATAGAGTAGCACTTTCTAGCATCAAAACTAGATTGTTATAAAATCTGTGTCCTTAATTGAATTCTTTATATACCAAGCCTGACATGGTTGCCTATTTGTCTGTCCCTAGTCTCTACTGTACTAATGAAGAAGAAATGAGGGTATTCAGCTAAAGAATCTGATGTGGCTACACAGAGAGACCTCTAAATTCAGTTTTAAGAAGGACATGTATAAAGGATAGGATTGGTGCATAACCAAGAGGAGTGGGGGAAGTGCAGGAATGACACACAGAAAATGGTATAAAGAATGCTAAAGCTCAGAAGGAGCTTAGATTTGAGAAAAAATGTTAAAGCAAAGAGCAATTTTCTGTTAAAAATTCTGCTTAGAATAAAAAACAAGGGAAGGAAGGTCTCCATGTTTAGGGAGATGGTAAATTGTGAACAGATGGGCTTTTAAAAACTATTACGTGACATGTTATGACGGAAGGCATTTTGTTCTTGTCTTCTCTATTAAGAAAAGTGACTTTCAGAATAGAAAGGGTAGAACAAACATCAAAAAGCAGACAGAGAAAGAAAGAGAGAGAGAGAGAGAGAGTAGCTGCTTTAAACAAGTTCAAAACTTTAAGCCAGACAATTACATCTTAAGATATTGAAAGAATTTGTAGATATAATTGCTTGTGAAGTCATGTATGAGAGAGATATCAAAAGGCTTAAAAATAGGGAAGGTGTTGGCTTACTTTCCAAAAAAAAGTGATTCTGGAAACTATACCCCAGTGAACTTGGTATTGATCGTTGACAGAGTTCTGAAATTCTTAGAAAAGAATTGGATTAAGAATCTGCATAGGTTCACTTAAGAGAAATACAAGGTTAAGTCTTTGGGTTTCTGTTTCCTCATCTGTAAAGTGAAGACATTGAACAAAATACTTACTCTGTGCCATACATACACTGTGTGTGTCTGTAATATATATATATGTATATATGTTACATATGATATATAAAATTTATAATTTATAGTCAGATGAACGGTTTTGTAAAAGACATAAAAGGATATTATATATCCACTATATATATACATTATGTTAATGTGATCCATTATATATTTATATATTATATACATATTCAAGTGGTTTTGTGAAAGACATAAGGATATATTTATTATATCAACATATTATTTATCATATATGTGATTCTATATTATATAAAATAGATACAATATATTAATATAATAATACACAGCACATTATATTCTGTCATATACATGTGATTATAATAAATATAATATCCTTTTAAGTCTCACAAAACCACTTGAATATGTATATAATGTATTATATATAAATATATATAATAGATCACACACATACACAGATTTGTCTTTTTCAACAAAAAGTCTTCAACAAAACCTTCCATCTTAATTGCTTTCACGTAAGATTATAGGATTATCAATCTAAATTTGAAAGAGAGGCACCCTAGAGGCCCTGAAGCTAATCCTCTCATTTTATAGAAGAGGAAACTGAATCTCTTGAAGGTTAAGACTTGCCCCAGGTCACACAGGAAAGTGTCAAAGGCAAGGTCTTCTGATTCTCATCAATGCTGGTTTTCTCAGAAATGAGTCAGTGAAGGATACTTTTATGATCTGAATACTTGATTGACTTTAAACTTTTTCTGGAAATTAGTGCTTCATTTCTTCCTAGGAACCAATTGTAAACTCTAGCAAGTTGATATCATTTAGTACTGTATAACTGTGTTCAACTTTGCTACTCTAAATTTTTTGTCAATTTAAAAACATGATACATGGGAATCAGAGATCTTTCTCTACTTATTTCTACTTATATTTAATTTGGTTATAATTCCTTCTCAAATTTTTTAACCCTTAATTGATTTCTTCTTTTTTTTTCATTTCAAACTCTGTCTTCAAGATTTTGAGTCAAGATACTTTTCATATGAGAGAGTCCAGCCTAAGTGACTTACTGTATTGATGTTGCTATGAATTCTAGAAATTTTTGGGTTAGTCATGTGATAGCTAGGGATTATCAGGAGCATTTGTTTTGCATGAAATACTTTTTTACAATCTAAAAAAACAACTCATCTAACCTAAAGAATTTTGCCTCTTGGATTTTTCAAGCTTTCCTCCTTAACACTGTATGAAGGACCTTTTCTACTTTGTTAGCAGTATTTCACTACTTTTCTGATAAACTAGCAAGTAAAATCTATGTTTTTCTGATGAAATGAAGGATTAGTAGTCAGAATGTGATAGTAATCCAATATTTTGGAAGAGAATAAGCCAAGGTAAAGACTTGTGAGTGTCAGTGGCTTAGCAGAAAAATTGGTTTTAACCTTTGTTAATTTTTTATTTCAAGATGCCTATTTAATCAGTGGATAATTAAAGTAATGATATTAAATTATGTTAAAAGGAAAAAAATACTAGCTTGAAATATTCAGAAAGGCTCAGTGTTCCATTTTTTTCTCTTGCATATGCAGATATGGGTATATCCTGCCTTATACCTCTCTTATGCACTTGTATACTTATTTTATTTTTTGGGGGGGGGGTTAGGCAATGGGGTTAAGTTAATTGCCCAGGGTCACACAGCTAGTGTCAAGTGTCTGAGGTCACATTTGAACTCAGGTCCTTCTGACTCCAAGGCTGGAGCTGTACCCACTACACCACCTAGCTTCTCCCATACTTATTTTATTATGGCTGTTTGCATCTCTATCAAAGCTCTACCCTGTTGTCACTTTGTAGCATGGAAGTAACCCTGGGTGTTTGAAAGTTACATTAAAAGAGCATAAACTTTGTTCAGTGCTGTAAATCTGGACAGCCTTTGACTATAGGTCTAGGTATAGACTCTGTATCTAAGGCCTAACTTAGCTAAATTATAGCTTTTCACCTGGTTAGGTTCAGGTGGTGAATTCTGGCCACTAAAATTCTCACTGATTATCTACAGAACTCCTAGTAGAAGGGAGCATGGTACAATCTTTGTGGAAGGAGATCCTCACTAATAGATCTTGGAAGTATTGGAGGGAGTATGTGATGCTCCATATCATTTCTACTTTGATGAACTGTCATGGAGGTCAGGTGACCCTGTGTCTCAAAGACTATGCCAACCAAGTTAAAGCTCCAGCAGGTGCTACAAAGTTGGAAAGACTGACTATAGGACTGGTGATGGACTGTATGTCATTAATCCCAGGATCTGGTAAGTTCTGAGAGGACCATAGATTTATTTTTGTTTGTCATTTGTTCTCGAAGAGGACGAGTGACACCAGGAGGGTGATGTCTTGACTTGCAAGTGAATTGGATTTAAGTGAGGCAGAGCTGTGCAAAGTCATCAGCCTCACTCTCTCCTCCAGAGTCATCTGAGTCCAATGGCAAGACATAGGTCAAGATGACTGGTGATGGCCCTGAATGCAGTGGGCCTTTTTAAGCTAAGGTCTTTCCCAGCTCTCAGTTTCATCATCGCTTTAGAGTTTGAAGGGACCTCAGAGGACATAGAGTCTAATTCTCTCATTTTACAGATGTAGAAACTGAATCTCAGAGAAGTTGCCCAGGGTCACATAGGAAATAGTAGAGGTGTGGTATAAACCCAGGTCTTCCTGACTCCAAATCTAGGGCTCTATCCCCTAACCATGCTGTTTCTTCACCAGGGGGCAAACTAACAGGTTTTGGCTAATTTTTTTGGCTAAAGCAACTCATTAAACCATTTCAAGCCATAGTTACATGAGTTTCAAATTTAATCTGCATCAGTGGAGGAAGTTTACGCACCAATGAAATAATGGATCTTTGAAGTATGTGTATCGTATGATACCATAGACTCTGTGAAGGCCAGGATGGTTTCCTACCTAAATTTTGCACCTCCCTTAGTGCCTAACAGCATTCTGTGAATAGTACATGCTTATGATTTTTTTTGTTAACTTGTTTTGTTGAATTAAACAGTGTTATGTACTTTTATTCTAAACTTTGAAGTCAGATAGTGAGGAAGCATTTATTAAGCATCTACTTTGTGTCAGGCACTATGCTAAGTGCTGAGGTTACAGAGGCATTAAAAAATAGTGCCTGTTCTCAAGTAGTTTACAATCCAATGCGGGGAGACATCAAGCAAACAACCAAGTAAAAACAAGCTATGGACAGGATAAATCAGAGACAACCTCAGAGGGAGGTTAACATTAAGGGATATTGGGAATGACTTTTTGTAGAAAGTGGAATTACAGCTGTAACTTGAAGGAAGTCAGGGAAGTCAGGAGGTAGAGATGAGGAGGCATAGGGGATAGCCAGTGAAAGTCCACAGAGTTGGGAAATAGAGCTGTGTGAGGAATAGCAAGGAGGCCAGAATCACTGGATCATAGAGTTCATGGAGGGGAGTAAGTATAAGAAGACTGGAGGGATTAAGAAGAGATCATATTATTTAGGGTTTTAAAAGCCAAACAGATCTTTATAGTTGATCCCAGAGATTATTGCTAGAGATTATTGAATAGGGGAATAACATAATCAGACCTCCTCTTTAGGAAGATCACTTTGATGGCTGAGTGGAAGATCACCTGGAGGGGGAAGAGAATTGAGGACCAGAGGTCACCCAGAAGTTCAGCCAGTAAAGAGGTGAAGGGGACCTGAACTAGAATGGGGGCTCTGAGTGGAGAGAAGGGCATATATATATATATATATATATATATATATATATATATATATATATATATGTATGTATGTGTGTATATTTATGACTTTGAGAACGTGACTAGTGGATGCTTACCAAGTGTAAATAAGTCCATTTCCTTGTTAATGCTAGTGTATGATTTAGAATGATTTAGAAATGAAGCATTCAGCCATACTCTTGCCTTCTGTCACCTCTAGTAGCAGTAACAGAGCTGAAGTATATAGAAAATCTTTTAGTGTTTATGGAAAATTGTTCTTTTCCTAGGTACAACTGTACTTCTTTCCATAAACTGAAGAATTATTTTTGAATGATAGTGCATTTGAATTGTATTAGCATGCAGTAGAACTTTATGGCAAAAGTACTGAAGCAGCTGAATTGCAGTATTTCCTTATTCCACTAACACAAATGAGCCATTAAGTAATCTTCTAATTGAACAACAGAGTAAATTTTACATTCCTTTAATGCGATTAAAATTAACAAATGTATTAACTGTCTATTTATGTATAGACATTTGAAGAAATGAGATGATAAATGACACCATCCCTGCTCTCATAAAGCTTTCAGTTTAGTTGGGGCATTTAACATATATACAAGGGATTGCAGTGTAAAATGGTTCCTTGTAAATGCATAAGAAAAGTCTAAACAAGTTGCTCTGGAAATTTGATAAGGGAAATTTGGAGACTTCATGAAACCTTAAAAGGATTCACATAGCAAGATGACATTTGAGGTAGGCATTAAAGGATGATGTGGATTACAGGAGGCTAAAATGGAGGGTGAGGAGGGTGTGAGGGCATTTCAGGCATAGACCAAAGGTGCAGAGGTGGGAAAACATGGGATGTGGGTTGTATTGTAACTTATTGCATTAAGGATAATAATATACTGCACTTTATAATTTACAAAGGACCCTGGGCAAGCATTTAACCTCTCTTGGCTTCAGTTTCCTTATTTATAAAATAATAACTTACAGTTCTATGTGCTTCTAAAGATTAAGTCTGAGCATGTCATTCCCTGGCTCAAGAGCCTCCAGGGACTTCCTCCTTCATTTAAGATAAAAAGAAACTTCTCAGCTTGGAATTTAAAGCCTTGTACTGTCTGGCTTCAACCTGCCTTTCCAGGCTAATTTCACCTTATTCTACTGCCCTCTTTCAGAACTCTACATTCAAGCCATTTTCCCTCCAATTAGTCACTCTGCCTCCTGCCTTAATGACTTTGTGCACAGGCAGGCCTTAGTTCCTTGAATGGCCTTCCTCCTAATCTCTACTCCCTGAAATCCCTCCCTTCATTCTAGAATCATCTCCTGCCAACTTAGGGAAAGCCTTTCTTGATGCCTTTGTTCCTTAGTGCTCTCTTCTCTTCAGCTTGTCACAAATATATTGATCTGTTTACATGTTGTACCTCCCCAGTAGAATGTAAGCTCCTCAGTGGCAGACACTGTTTCTCGTTCCATCTTTGCACCTTAGTACCCACCATAGAGACTTAGGAAGAACTTTGAAATTTGATTGTGTGACGTGGGAGATGCTGGCAACAGACCGCTCAGCATGGTGTGCTGGCATCAAAGAAGGCGCTGTGCTCTCTGAGCGAAGCAGAATTGCAGCAGCTCAGAAGAAATATGAAATGCACAAATTTAGAGTTATTCTCCACCCCAGATGTTCACATGCCCTATTTGTGCCCAACATGTGGTAGAGCATTCTGAGCTTGTATTGATCTGATCAGCCACAGTTGGATACACTGTAGCTTGACCCCAACATAGTGATGTCATTTTAGTCCTCTTTGAGCTTAAAGGACAATAATCAACCAACCAACCAATAGGGACTTAATAAATGCTTATTAGGTTGAATTGGATCACATAGAGTACTTTGAAAGTTTCCAAAGTACTTTTTTTCTCAACATTCTTGTGAGATACATAGTGCGTCATTTTTATCCTGATTTTAAATATGAGGAATGAATCACATTAGGTGAACTCTTAAATTTACCTTCTGATTCTAAAATCCTTGAGGCACTTAGGTGGTGCAATGGATTGAGCACAGGGTCTGAAGTCAAGAAGACCTGAATTCAAATCTGGTCTAGCTCTGTGATCTTGGGAAAGTCACTTAACCTTTGTTTGCTTCAGTTTCTTCATCTGTAAAATGGGGATATTAGCACCTACCTCTCAAGGTTGTTGTGAGATAACATGAGATAATTTTAAAGCGCCTGCACATAGTAAGCATTATATAAATGTTAGCTCTAATATACATATTTAGAATACATTCTTATAGAAAAACCATTTTATGTTTAACAGTTGTGCAAGCATTTTTTTAAACACCAGGCACTATACTGTGAGCTGGTGATACAAACAAAGATAAAACCAAAGCAAACCAAACCCTATTGTTTCTGCCCTCAAAGAGTACACATTGTAACAGACATGCAAGATCTATACTGAAAAGGAGGAAGGTAATCTTAAAGCAAAAGTCACTAGTGGGGGGGGTGGAGATTGGAAGGGTTTCTTCAGAAAATGGAATTTGAACTGAGTCTTGAAGGAAGCATGGGAAACTTAGAAGTAGAGATAAAGGCACAGAACATTACAAACATAATAGAGTAATCCCATGCAAAGACATGGGGATAGGAAATGAAGTGTCTCTTTGAAGGAACTTTTAAGTAGGCTGGTGTAGCTGAATCACAGCATGAGTGGAGGAGGGTAATTTGTGTAAGACGAGTGGAAAGGTAGGAAAGGGTTCTGTTAGAAAGAGTTTTACATGCTCAAGGAGTTTCTTTTTGATCCTGGAGGTAATAGGTAGCCACTGGAATTCAGTGAGAGGTAGAGAAAAGGGGGAACATATTAGAGATATTATGAAGGTAGAAACCATAAGATTTGACAAAATACTGGATATGTGGGGTGAGGAAGAAAAAGAAATCAAGGATGATCCTGAGGGTTACTTAGAGGATGGTGGTGCCCCTGTGGAAATAATAGTACTTTTTAAAGACATTACTGAGCATACATAGATTTGAAAAATGATTTCTGTCTTGAGAGTGTTAATGCTCTTAATATTTTTAGGATTTCTTTTATTTATACTTGTTTGGAATGGATTTACTCATTTCCCCATTTCTGCCTTTATTATATATCATTTAAGAATGTTTTCATATACTCCATAGGTAAGTAAATTTTGACTGAGTAGGATTTATTCTCTCCACCTCCCATCTTTTTTAAAAGAAGGAATTCTTATCTTTCCCTCCTTTCTGTTTGCCCTTCACCCTCCCTTTTCCCCACAATGAGCTCCTTACCAGACTTAACCTATTTCTATTATCATTCTCCTTTCTCACATTGTACTTCCTTTTCCACAGACGTCAAGCAATGAGCTATTACTCTACCAGATTTTATCATTACATACTTGAATATTGGGTGTACAAGTTTCTTTAATTCTTACGTATTTAAATTAGATAATTGCCAAAAGCCTTTCTTTATATTTTATCAATCACCTGCAACTTTTCCAGAGTGAATACCAATTATAGAAACTAGAACACTCAATTTCTTCCATGTTCTATCGGATACATTTTAGTTCTTGTATGCATTTTCATTTATATTGCTATAATGTGTCACTTTTTATGTTTTGAGACTTTAAATAAAATTTATAAAAACATTTTCCTTTGTTATTTTGATGGATCCATGATTTCATTGGTGTGGAAACTCCCTCTACCAATCTAGATAGCAGCTTTTCTATACCTCATTTTGCATAAGAACAATTTTTATGCATAAATTTCCATAAATTCTACACAGGGGATCTACCTAATGCACTGTTGGTATTACTCAGATTCTTTTAATATTTTGAGGGATACTGATATAACACTTGGGTTATCTGTCACCCTGGTGTTTCTTATTCTCAGTACCTGACTAGCTGCCTTTTTCCTGGTCTTATATATCCTCAATTATGTCTTTTATTCCATTCCTGTTATGCAATCAGAGCATTATAGGTAACATATTAGAGCTTATCTAAACTTATCCTGTGTCTTGTACTTTGAGTCACCTGCATTTTGGACTCTCCCAAGATTTCAGTTGTTTCAGTTATTAGTAATATCTCATAAAAGAGATAGGTTTTTGCTTCAGCAAACAGTTTGGGAACATTGAAATTACTGTAAATATTCCCAAATGTGTTCTATCTTGATTTTCTCTACTTACTCAAGTCTAAACCCAGTTCACTGTCCAGTTGTAGTGACTGTTTAAGCTTTGTGTGTGTTGTGTATATGTGTATATAAGTAAATAGAAATGTGAATATGTGTGTGTGTTCAGATGCAAATGAAATAAATTAATGGTCTACTTGTATAACTAACTACATCTTATAATCTGGGCAATGTATTTTTTTAAACATTTCATTTTTGTAGCAGATAGTTAAATTTCTTTTGACTTTCAATTTAACTGAGGTTTTTAGTATTCTGTATAATTAGTATGACATTATTTATCATGTCATAGCATTTGGAGAACCTTATCATTAATAGGGAAGGCTTCCTTAACCATTATAATTATGAAATAAACAAAGCTGTAGGAAAAGAGAGGCTTTGTGTAATATAGTGATGCACTTGGTGGGACCTATAGAAGAGGCTGCCCTTGGAAAATGATTTGAAGGCATAAGGGTCCGTCCAGATGGCCTGTGTAGTGCCGAGGACCATATAAGTAAGCATGCCTTGTCTCCTTAGTTCTATGCTGCACTCATTAAGTAGGCTATTAAATAGGCTTTTCTTAGCTGTCTTCAGCTATTTTAGCAGCCACAAAATCAATTAACTGACATCCATATTATTATTATCATCCACTTCAGTTATTGTTAGTATTTCTGCCTTAATGGACTTTTTGGTTAATGAATAATTTAGTTTTTTTTTACTGGAAATACAAGTTAATCGAACTTTAGCTGGTAGTCTTAGTTCTGAGGCCTGGATAAAAGCTATTTTCTTGGCATAATATACCTCTATGTTACTTGACAGATAGATGTCAGAAAGATACAAGTAAAAAGGTCGAGAAGGTGAGAAGCTTACTGCTGCTTCTGCCAAAAAGAAGGGCTATCTCCTTAAAGAGGCTTTTGTGTGTCACCACTTAAAAGATGAGTTCACTTCCAATCTATAGCTCTTAAGAAATATTATAACTTCTCTTTATTTGAAGTAGGACTTTGCATGTTGGTAAGAGTCTGCTGATTTATGAGATTTACATTGACTTATAAATCAGGGAAAATAAGTACAGAATTGATGATTAAATTTTATGGACTATTAGAACATGTACTACTCAAAATATGTTGGGAAGCAAGAAATTCAACATTTTATACTTTCAGTTTAAAATTATAAAGTTATATTGATTGAAATACTTTTTTCTCTTAAGTGGAAGCTAAAATGTGAAACTTCTGGCAACCTGTGCTTTGCTAATAATGCATTCAGCAATTTTCTTTGTGTACCAAGTGACATTTTCTCATATAAATTTCTGTAAAATGTTGTCACTCATTTTCTGGAGACTCAGGTATTTATCTCTTTGTAGCTTCAGGGGCATTATCAAAATTAACACATGGACTGAAAGATGAATCACTGGCTTACATTTACCATTGTCAGAATCATTACTTTTGTCCAATTGGATTTGAAGCAACACCAATTAAAGCCAATAAAGCATACAGGTAAGCATTATCAATGGGAATTCTTCAATGGTGCTAATTTTTTCTTTTGCAGAAAGCTATCTGTTTTTTGATTTGGTTCCACATCAATTATGAGTGTGGCTTCATGTTTTGTTAGGCACTCAAAACAGTGGCAAGTGTGTCTTTTCTCAATACATTGGTTGATGTTTAATCTGTTTACAATTTTTTTTTCTATTTTCTTTTATTTGTTCTTATATATAATCAAAACCTTAATTGGAGAAAATAACTTTGAAAGGAGTCTTTGGGAAACTTAAAGACAAAAGTGCCTCAGACATGACTCAGGAGCTACCCCAAATGAGTTTGTCAGCAAAGAAAAGTTAGGCATCTCAGTCCTAGTTCTTATGTTTAAACTGTGTAGAAATAGATTCTTTATGATACATTGGAGTAATATGCTGGCATAGTTAAAAGTACCAGGGAAATATTATGCTATGGATCTTGGTTGAGGATGGAGAGAGCAAATATTATTGATAATTAAGGAATCCTTTGGGAATAGCATCCATCTGAATAAATTCATCTTGGGTACAGAAGGGAAAAATCTGAATTTTTGAGGGAAATTGGTAATGGCTGGAAATGAACAGCAAATAGGTCCTAGATGAGGCTGAGAGGAGAAACATTCAAGTGGCCTGGTTAGATGGGAATAACATTTCTTGGGGAACATATATAAGCCAGGACCATATATGTCTTTCATTATCAAAATATTCTCCTGAGGATGGCAGAATCTCTTCCCAAGAAAAGCAGCCAGTCACAGTCCACTTTTCCTCAATGGGAAGTATCTAACGAAAGTGCAGTAGGGAGGAAATCCATATCCTAGAACAAATGTCTTTGTTGCCTATTTTTCCTTTAGTAGGAAGTTTCTGGCAATGAAGTGTGTTTTGGGAAGGCATCCTCATCATTAATAGAAATATTGATATGGGGTTTCTATTGTTTCAATGGTATCTTATAATTTTACTTTATTTCAGAGAACTTCAATCATTGGGAAATGTGCATTCCCCCCCTTTTTTTTTTAACACCCTGCCCTTAAGGGTTATTGCTTCCATTGCATTTTTTGAAACTTGTAGTAGTCTTCAGTAAATCATCCACAGAGAATATGACCTTTTCTTTTCTTCTAGAGTCTGGGAGTTGGTGTACTTCAATTCTCCTAGTCCCAGTCATTGGGAACATGACATGAGACTAAATATTATGCCCCATTTTTCCAGTCGTAGTCATAAATTTTGCAGAGCCTAAATTCTTATAGCTTTCCCAGCTTTTAGTGCTTACAGTAGTAGTTTATATTTTTCCACTGGAACCAAATTATCATTTTGTTCTAGTTAACTCAGAAATCTTAAGGAAACTAAAGACCTTCATTTTTATTAAGGTATTGGTCCATGTTGTGACCTGAGCATATGTTTTTTGTATTTAGCAGGAGTCATTTGTTGCAGCAAGAAGTAGAATATTGGATCTTAATTGGAGAGCCAAGTAGAAAACATCCTACCATTCACTGTAAAAAGTAAGTTAAGGTGCTGTTGAATTACATTTATTTCTTTTATCTGGACTTGCCTGCAACTAAAAGAAAATACACAGATTTTGTGCATTAGCCTGATGTGTCACTATCATTATGTGCATTATTTTTTTTTTAGAAAACTTAATTATTGACCTAGAATTTTGGATAAAAAACCTCCACCATTGCTTATAATTATATTATATATTGTAATGGTAAAAGAATAATTTGAAGAATGAAATACTGACATGATAAAGCTCATTCAATTCAACCAACATTTTTGGAGTCATTGTGGTACAGTTTAAAGAATGCTGGAACTGGAGTCAGGGAACATGGGTTTGAATCCTGTCTTTGCCATTCACTTATTTAGTGACCTTGGACATTTCACTTAACTTCTCTGTGCCTCAGTTTCTTCAGATGTAAAATGATGAGGTTGGACTAGATGACTACTAAATCTGCGATCTTACATTTAGTAAATATCTGCTAAAGACACTCAGATAAAAGGGCAAAAGTGAAATCATTCTGCCCTCAGGGCGTTTATATTCTAATACCCATTAACACTGTAGCAATTTACCTAGATGAAAAAAGTTCATTAAAACTTTACTCTAGCGCTTTAGAAAATAAAACATCGATTTTCTTCTTGACTCTAGATGGGCAGACATTGTTGTTGACCTTAACACTCAAAATCCAGAATACCTCGATATTCGACACCTAGAAAGGGGACTACAGTATAGAAAAACAAAGAAGGTAAGACAAGATTCTACCTGAAGATACATTTCCCAACTCACTAAAAAGTGCCACCATGCAAAAATACTTTGAGATTGTGCCTTTTCTCCCCTTAGTCCTTTAAACTACTTCCTACAAAAAAGTAGAGGTAATTAGAGCAGGTGATAAAGAAATACAGAATGTATGTGGAGAATTAAATGGGATACAAAGGGTTCCTTCTTATTTTAGATGAAGGGGTAGAGGGAGAGACCAGAACATGGATGTATCATTGCTGAGGGTACTGTACTGCTCAATGAAAGGAGTGGGGTTGAGAAGTGCTTTGGACCTTTGGTCATTTGAAGAAAGGCAAGCAGTAGGAAGAGAAACAAGAAAATGTAGGTGGAATCTGGGAAGGGCATTGTACTTTTGAGGCAGGTGGGAGGAAAGAAAGGGGAATTGTAAGGGGACTTTAGGACTTTAATCAATCAGCAAGCATTTACTAAGTGCCCATGTGCTAGGCACTATGACCACACAGTGAACCACTCTATACCCTTAAAGGGCGGTATAGTGGATTTAGTGTTGGACTTAAGAGTCAGGAAAGCCTAAGTTAAAATCTTGCCTTAGACACTCATGAACTGTGTAATCTGAGCAATCACTTAACCTTTCTGTGCCTCAGTTTCCTCAACTGCCTAAAGGGGATAATAATAACACCTATCTCCTAGATATTTCAGGATCAGACGAGATAATATATGTAAAACACTATAAAATACTGTTATTATTATTATACTTTATTAAAAGAAACATGTACTTTGTGCGTATAATTTTTCTTTGTTGTAACAAAATAAGGCCCAGAGCTTCAAAGCCCTATTATATCATTTACTATATCAAATTTTGTTTTATCATTTGTTTATTTTTGTATCTTACCTCATCTATTGACAGGCAGAATTATGTAGTTAATAGTGTTGGCCTTGGCAGCAGGAAGATCTGTGTTCAAGTTCTGTCTTTGCCACATACTAGCTATGAGACTCAGTGAGATAACTTAATCTCAGTGCTCCAGACAAATTTCTAAAACCCTAAGTTGCTGATCATCATTCCACATTGGGAATTCCCTACACAGATGTAATCACAGGTCTAGATACCCCTCTTCCCTCAAAAAAAAAATATTATCTGCATAACTAGAATGTGAGTTCCCTGCTGGGACTGAATTTTGTTTATCTCTGGGAGCTCTTAGGATAGGAACTTATATATCAGGTGCTCAATGCCTATTTGTTGAATTGAATATTTGTCTTCTAGGTAGGGGGGAATCTACATTGCATCATAGCCTTTCAGAGACTTAATTGGCAAAGATTTGGCCTTTGGAACTTCCCATTTGGAAATATCCGACAAGAAACACAACCTCCAGCACATACACTTGCCAAATCTGAGAGTGAAGACAACATCTCTAAGAAGTGTCATGGGCGTCTGGGCCGATCTTTGAGTGCTAGTTTTCATCAGGAGTCAGCGTGGAAAAAGATGTCTAGTATTAATGAAAGAAGAAATAGTGCCTATTTGGGTTATAGTGATTATGATGGAAATGATTAAATGGGTGGGTACTGCACAGTGTGTATGAAAACCTGGAGTAGGACATGCAGTAGTAGGGAGTTTTACTAAGCTTGTGTTATATATGAATAGATCTCATCATGTGGGATAAAACACGGTCTTGTAGTTTCTCATTACCTAAGCTTGTATATGATTCTGATGGGTAATCTCAGATATGTGAACAGATAAGCACAGAGTATTGATCTTGTAAAATTAAGGAAAATAAGCAATCAAAATTGGAAAGCAATTTCTTTTTTAAAACCAAAATCAAACTGTGATTACTTTCTAAACATGTTGAAGATAAAGTATGTTTAACAGAATCAAGATATGAACTACTTAACCAAGCATGAAATTTTAAAATAACTTTTCTCAGATGAACGTGGAAGATTATTCTGCATTTAAGATTAAAATGTAGGTCTTCATCATCCCTTTTAAAAAGGGTAACTGATACAGCTACCAATTATTAATTTCAGCTAAGGTATATAATGATAAAGGGTCATCTGAAATTGTCCACTGTGCTTTGGTAGCTCTCTATACAATTATCAGTACCACTACACTTGACTTTTTGCTTGTTGACCTTTATCAGAAATCTCAAACATTTGCGAACTGAGTATACCATCTACTGGTTGTAGGTAATTTAGTTCATTGACTCAATATACTCTTGCTTTTTTTGACCTGGTAAATTTCTGTAAAACATAGATTAGAAATCTGGGTCCTATTTGTAATCTGTGGAGCTTATAGGTTTTTAAATTTAATTTGGGGGAGGGATGGGTTAGGTGTCTGGACCTTCAAACTACTACATAGTGATATGGAATGGGATCTCCTAGGACCTGATTAGTCCCACTATAGGATGGAGGCATAAGTTAATATAAACATTAAGGAATCTTTAAGCCACTGAGTACAATCAGGCTGATGCTTTAATTGTCTGTCTGATTCAGTCTTACTGTAAGATCCATGAATCTACTGCTGAATCCCTAAATCCTATCCACATAATCAGTTGATACATAAAGCAAGTGTTAAAGACAAAACAAAACAAAACACCCAACAAAACCTGAAGGGTGGATTTCACATGTTGAACTCTACTCTCACTGTGGAAATTCTGAACCCTACTCTCATTGCTGCCAATTTGTGAATTATAGAAGCTGGGGTTTTCTTGCTCTTCTTTCCTTTCAAGGGTCTTTTGGGGGTATTCAAACAAATACCTTCATTATTGCAAAGTAGTGAGACTTTGGCAGTTCCTCTGAAATATACCTCTAGTAAAAGGTGGTTCCTAGTTTTTTTTTAATTCCATATCGATTATCCACTTGAATAATCTACTAATGAGAACATGGTAATAGGATGCTCTTTTTTTTGTTTTCCTAAAGGGAACACTAAACCTATGTTTAAATAAAAGGGGTTAGGATTTGTAGGTTGCTGACTTTGTTAACTAATACTGGAACTTTTAGAAAATTTGTTCTTTAAATAAAGTTTTTTTTTAACTTTTAGTCATGTGAATATTTGTGAATTTGGGCATTTATCATTCAATAACCCGGAAGTTTAGTTTAGTAATAGACAGTGAACTGCCTGAGTCAAGAAGACCTGGGTTCAAGTCCAGCTACTGATGCATATGGGTTAGGTAATCTTGGGCAAGTAATTTAATCTCTCAGTGCCCCAGGCAGATTTCTAAGACCCTAAGATTCAGAACATTTGCAGATGTATAACAGCAGGAGTTTACTCATTTAGGAATTCCCTACACAGATGAAATCACAGATCTGAGCCAAAATAACAACGATAATAATAATTTGCTCAACTATTTGTGTCTGCCTAACTAGTTCTGACCAAAGAGCTGAAGTTCTTTTATAGAGGCACTGAAGAGGTTAGGGGTAGAGGTTTGGCATGCTGGGACCCCAAGAATGCCATGACAGAGTTGCCTGGAATGAATTCACTTGCTCCAGCTTTCTTTCAGTCATGAGACAGCCTATTATAACACCAATAGAAGTGGGCAAAATTCCCCTTTGGGGAACTTGCACCCTAATGAGGTAAATCTAGAAGTTATATAGAAAAGGGGCATGGGAAAGGAATGCCAAGGATGCTAATTAGATAATCTAAGGGTTCAGGTGTCTTTGGGAGCTGTGGATGGGAAAGTGTAGGGAGTATACCAAACGTTGAGGGAGAAAAGACAGTTTTTTGTTTAGCTGCCAGAGGCATGGACCTTGGGCAAGCACCAGAGACAAGATCCTTGGGCAGGCACCCTGACTCTGTCCTGACAAGGGAATTCTAGAGTTAGGCTTGCAACAAGGGAATATTTTCTCTCAAGGGAAGGGGGAGAAATGGTCTTAGGGTTTTTGGGGTCCAAGTCCCACCACTCCATCAGCACTACTAGGGAAACTAAAGGCCACATGATAGGCTAAACATATTATTTATCTGGCTTTTATCTAATGTTAATTGTGTTCTAGGGGACATGATTTAATATGTGGTGTATATGTAGAAGGGTAGTTAGGTGGTGCAGTGGATAGAGTGCTAGGCCTGGAGTCAGGAAGACTCATCTTCCTGAGTTCAAATCTGACCTCAGACAATATCTGTGTGACCTTGGGCAAGTCACTTAACCCTGTTTGCCTCAGTTTCCTCATCTGTAAAAAGAGCTAGAGGAGGAAATGGCAAACCATTCCAGTAACCTTGCCAAGAAAAACCCAAATGGGGTCCAATGAGTCAGACACAACTGAAACAAATGAACAACAACAACAACAGAAAATATCTAGGAAGGTATTATTATGAGGCATAACTAATAACATTTCTATAGAACTTGATAAAAGGGAATGATTGTTAAAAAGCACAATGCATTATTTCAATTGAGCAAAAACAGGAAAAAAGAAAAAGAGTTAAAATAGAGAAACTGTGAGACTAAAGAGTAATTATTGCTCACATTGGTAAAGTCCCCCATGGTTAAAATGTGCCTTTCACATTTTCATTCAATCATTCCTATCCTATAAGAAAGAGAGTACAGTATAATGCCTGGCACATAGTTGGCACTTTATAAATATGTGATTGTAAGGACTATTGTTCCCATCTTATGGATGATAAATTGTGATTTGGTAATGATCATGTAGATAATAAACAAAACAAACAAACAAACAAATAAGTAAAAACCTAGGGCTTAAACCTATACTCCAAGTTTAGTGCTCTTTCCACTAGCCTATGTTGCTTTTTAGAATACGGTATCACTCAGGTGAGGATGTTCAAATTGCTACTGATTCTTACCTATTTATTCATCTTGTCCAATTTTTAAAATTAATTTAAAATAAGTTTTATTAATGCCATTTTTATTTCTACATAACAATTGTTTCTGGAAAGGTCTCCCCATACTCATTTCCAAATTGTATCCATCTTTGTAACCGACAAAAAAAAAAATGAAGCAAAACACCCAATACAATGATCGCATCTTAAGTAAGCTGCACCCCCACTTCTCTGCGGTGAGAAGCGAGGCTTCATTGTCTACTCTTATGGACCATCATTGATTTTTCAATTTTACAGTTATTTCCTTTTAGTGCTATTTCAGTTTATATTAGTTTAGTCACCGTGAATTGTTCTTTTGGTTCTGATTATTTCTGTATCAACTGATATAAATTTTCCCTCATTTTACAAAATTCCTTATTCATTTTTACTACATAATGATGTTTCCTTATGTTCATCTACGTGTACATTCATATACATTTCTTCAGCCATTCCCCAATTGATGGGCACCCACCTTGTTTCTAATTCGTTGCTACCACAGAGTGCTGCCATATATATTTTTGAATACGTGTCCTGGATCACAGGCTGTGTGATGCTGGGCAAGTCATTTATTTTCTCAATGCTTTGGGCAAATCTCTAAGACTATGTTCCAAAAAATGTGCCAAGTTGCACTGGGAATTTACTTACCTGGGAACTGTCTGTACCAATATATCACAGGTGCAATCCCTATTCCTAGGATCATAGATTTTGAGCGAGAAGGGTCTTTAGAAGCAATCTATCTAGTCCTTTCGTTTTACAGTAAACTGAGGGGAAGGAAAGGAAAGGAAACAAGCATTTATATAGTACTTACTACGTGTCAGGCACTGTGCTAAGTGATTTTTTTTTTAACAAATAATTCTCAAAAAAATCTCATTTTCAAGATTTCAGAGTTGAAGTGACTCATCCAATGGCTTATAGATAATGGGTGGCAGGGGTGATATTTGAACCTAGGTATTTTAATTCCAAATCCAAAACACTTTCCACTATGCCATGGACATTTGTTTCTGTCCTTGACCTTCTTATATGCTCACTAGATGTATTGGCATTCCCATCTTATGGATGAGAAATTGTGATTTGATAATGATCAGTATAATAAACAGTATATAAACATAATAAACAGTATGAACCGTTTAGTCTCTTTTTTTGCCTAATACCAAACACATCCAGAATAGCTGTAACAATCCAACAGTTCCAACAACAGTACATTAGTATACCTGTCATCCCACACATTCTGGGAGAATCTTTTGAGCAATATGCAAAAAAAAAAAGACATTTCTTTCCAAATAAATTACATGTTCTCTAAGTTATTTGTTCTTAGGGAAAAAAAAGAACACTTCATAATGAAGAAATGCTTTAAGTCTAGGAAGTATTGTAGTTCTTGAAGACCTTAGTTAATCATTCTATTCTTTTACATAGATTTTTGAGCAAAATTCGCAGTTCCACCATATTCTTTACTTGTTCTCTTTTCCATTGTTATGTTTTGGGAGATTTCTTTATGATTGGACCTTACCAGATTAGTCATAAAACTTCAAAAAATATCTTCTCAAAAACATACCTCTGTGTAGCAATCCAGAGATTTATCAAAAGGTTTAGTTCCCATTTAATGAATCTCAATCAGCCTACAATTTTCATTCATTCATTTAAAAAAATTGTTGAGCAAGGCACTGACTCATACAAAGGTATATAAGACAAAGTTCTACACTTAATAAGCATTCAATCCACTGGAATAGATAGGACCACATTTAGCAGCAGCAAGAGAACTGAATTTGAAATCAAAGTTCAAGTCTCAATTGCCATTTATAATGTGACCTTGAGTAAGTCACTTACCTTCCCTAGATCTTGATTTGCTCATCTATTAAGTGATTGGGTTGTATTAAATTATCTCGTCAGCTGGGTGCTTTTTTCTCAAAATCTATGACATTATCTCTTTGGGCCTCAATTTCCTCATCTGCAAATGAACAGAATTGGGCTATTAATATTTAGGGCCCTTTAACCATAATAAAAGGCAGCATGTGATAAATATTGAAAAATGCTACAAAGTACTGAAGAGAGTGATTATTTTCAGCCAGAGTAATCACAGAATACTTCATGGAGGAGGTTACACTTGCTCTCAGGTAAGACAATAAATGGAGCTGGGATTGAGGAACAGAGACCATTCCAAATGTAGGGATGGCTTGAACAAATGCCCAGAGTTACTAGTTATGCTCTGGAAGCAAGTAAGTAGTATAGTGTACATCACTGGTGTCAAACTCAAAAGAAGGTCATAAACTGCATATAAAGATCCCTGTGGGCTGCATATTGACTTAGAAAACCACATATTAGCATTATCTATATTCTATTCAATAGAAGTATTGAATATTATTCTATTATATTAATTATAATCATACAAGTATACACGAATATATATGAATAGATTTATTCAATAGAATGCACTGTATTTTTATTTTAAGTATTTCTCAATTACATTTACAATCACAATGTTTAATTACAGTTACACTTAATCTGGTTTGGGTTGCATTCAGAAGTATCATGGACTCTTCTTTGATACCCCTGGTGCACATAATTAAATAGGGTTCTTATAGGGGAGTAGTGGGTGATAAGGCTGGAAAGATGAGTTGGGGCCAGTTTGTTTTAGATTGACTTTTGAATGTAGTGAGATGTCTTATTTTTCTTAGCATTTTCCTCAGCATGAACCACAGCATTCTAGGTGCTCTGAGCAGAATCTATAGATGTTCATTTATTACAAATCATAGTGAATCATCAAGTACATTACATCATCCAGTGAATCATCCAGTATATATAACATTTTAATCTTGAGTTTGTCAAGCATAGTTTGGAAATTGGGAGCTATTTTTATTGAGTTAAGCTTTTTATTTAATGTTACAAAAAATATTTAGTCAAACATACCAAAGCCCATGTCATCATTGGACCCCTTGGATTCTTCTTTTTTTTGTTTCCTCTTTCTTCTTCTCCTCATCTGCGGCAGTTGTGCAGGAGATGCCCCTCCAGCAGGGGCAGCACAACCACCTGCTGGGACAGGTCCACCAACTCCTACATTGCAGATGAGACTTGCAATGTTGACATTGGACAGGGCCTTTGCAAATAATCCAGGCCAGAATGGTTCAACATTTATACCTGCTGCCTTAATGAGGGCATTGATTTTATCCTCCAAGACTGAAACCTCATCGTCACGAAGGATGAGGGCAGAGTAGATGCAAGTGAGCTCGGAGAAGGC